TGTGTGTGTGTGTGTGTGTGTGTGTGTGTGTGTGTGTGTGTGTGTGTGTGTGTGTGTGTGTGTGTGTGTGTGTCTGTGTGTCTGATCAGCTGCTGTCAGACTGCAGCTGCACATTTAGACTTGAAAGCATCTTTATTTGTGAAAAGGCCCTCAGACCTGCAGCAGCCTGGAAGGACACATTTCAGTGACGGACAGGAAGCAGTTTGGACTGACGTGTGCAGCCGAGCAGTCACTTCTGTCCACGCTTTGTTTCAGTTTGTGTAAGCAGCCTCCACAGAACGGCTGAGTCCAACCATAAACCTGTTTATTTATAAAACATGTTGTTCTCATCAGTTCAGCTCCAAACGTTAAAGTTTATAAAGATTTTCGCTGAATTTAGTCAAACTGAGGGTTTGTCCTGTCGATGGAGCACAGTTAACATCCTGCAGGTTCAGTTAAAGTTAAAACTCTTTAAGTTACTTCAGATATTTAGTCCTTTTTACCAGGTTGTTTCCTGGGAGAAGAATTATGAGATTTGGACTTTTATTTTGAAGTCAGCATCAGATTGTTTTGTGATTGCACTGCTCTTCCTGTAACAGTAAAAAGTGGAAACTGGACTTTAAGTGTTTTAACTCCTGGAAGGAAGATTTGTCATCTGAAGCCTGTTTTAATTTAAATCAAGTTTAAGGTTGAAAATTGTAACAGAAAACATCCAGTAGAGTTTTTGTTCTGTCACTAAATGTTCAGTTTTTGTTTTAGAAAAGGTTTCTGGCTCCAGTTTAAATGKGTGGCTTTTCTTTGTTACTTTATTTGAGTTGTTATTGGATGAGGGGCTTCAGATTCAGTTTGTTTTGTTTTATTTTTTTTGAGTGCCCATGAGAGAGTAAAGTTCATCACGTTTGGTTTGAAGGATGCGGTTTTGTTTATTCCTGTAAAGTTCCCGCCTCACAGTCACTGTTCAGAGTTTTATATGATGCAACCAGATTATATTTTCAGGAGGAAACCGTTTTTTGAAACAAATCTAAAAGAAATGTGACCGCAAAATGTAATAAAAAATACTAAAAACTCATTTTGATTTTTGTTTGGGAAAAATAAATTCTGAAAACTTGACTCCACCTGTCATAAAAGTACCTTTGTTTTTATTTACTGATGCTCCCTGTCAATTTGTGAAGGGTCAAAGGTCATTACCAAACAACACACTCACCCTGAAGGTTAGACTGTGCAGTGAGCTCAGTTAGCAGGTCAAAGGTCATCATGATCC